GGTTCAGTTCCTCCGTTTAGAAACAGGGGCTTAAAATTTGCCCATTTGAATATTCATAGCTTAGTTGCTAAGATTGACAAACTTAGATTACTTCTGAGAAATGCATCATTTGATGTTATTGGTTTAAATGAAACATTTTGCGACTCCATGATTGATGATTCTGAATTGTATATAGATGATTATATTTTATTACGTAGAGACCGTACAAGACATGGTGGTGGTGTGGCTGTATATATATCCAAGAGGTTCAATTATAAAAGAAGGGATGATTTGATTTCTTCTACTTTAGAATGCCTTTGGTTTGAATTGCATTATCCAAATAAGTCTCCCATCCTGGTTGGAGAGTTTTACAGACCTCCAAATTCTCACGTTGATTTCTTTGAAGAATTAGACGGAAATTTGGACTCTGCTCTCTCGGAAGATATGAGCTGTATTATTTTAGGTGATTTCAATTGTGATTGTATGCCACGTCACCAACTTGATCTGAATGCTGAAAAGTTAATGTTTTATACAAATATGTACGGGTTAAGTCAGCTAATTGATACTGCCACAAGAGTTACAAATACCTCTTCTACTTTAATTGATTTGATATTTGTATCAGACAAGGAACTTTACAATGAATGGGGAATATTTGAAACTAGCATAAGTGATCATTATTTGGTGTATACGGTTCGCGATTTTAGTGCAAAGATCCATAACAAATCCGAATACGCAGAATTTCGCTCGTTTAAAAATCTTGACGAGGAGAAATTTTACAGTGAATTGAGAAGTACTCCTTGGCAGGTCATAAAAGATATAGATAATGTTGATGTTGCGTGGGATATGTGGTTGACTCTATTCAATAATATAATCAACAAGCACATACCAGTATGTAAAAAGCGGATAAGAAAAAAGGCATGTCCATGGATATCTGACGAGATTGTTAAGCTTATGACGGAACGTGATAAAGTTCTCAAAGCTGCTAAAGCTAACAAAAGTGATGATCTTTGGGACACCTACAAATATCTAAAGAATACAGTTATTCATCTCATGAGGAAAAGAAAAAGAGAATATAATGCAGACCAGATCTCGCAAAATCATAACAATAGTAAGCAAATGTGGAGATGTTTGAGAAACCTTGTGCCTAAGTCATTACCTATATCTCCCAATAGCATAAATGTTGATGGTGCTAATGTGTCAGACAATGCAAATATTGCTGAAGCTTTTAATGACTTTTTCATTTCTAATGCTACTAAGATTACAAAGGACCTGCGAAGGAATAAGTCTCAACTGAGAGTAGACGAGGACAATAATATTGGTCCAACTCATTCGCAATTTAATTTGAATTTGAATACTGAGGATTTTGTATTGAAACAGATTGATAATCTGAGTATAGATAAAGCAACTGGTGAAGATCACATCAGCTGTAAACTTTTAAAGATGACGAAGAATGTTATCGCAGAGTCTCTTTGTGATATCATTAACAAATCCCTGTCTACAGGAGTTGTTCCACGTGAATGGAAAAAGGCTCGGGTAGTACCAATATTCAAATCTGGAGATATTTCTTCTTTGAATAATTACCGTCCCATTTCGATATTACCTATCGTGAGTAAAATTATAGAAAGGGCCGTCCACCAACAAATCAGTGAATTCTTGGACGTGAATAAATTATTACACCCTAATCAGTCTGGTTTTAGACCTAAACATTCAACAGCTACTGCCCTTGCAAAACTTGTAAATCAATGGTCGTTGAATATTGATAACAAAGAAATTTCTGGAGTTGCCTTCATAGATCTTCGTAAGGCTTTTGATACTGTTGACCATGAGCTACTTCTACATAAACTAGCTTGTATAGGTTGTAGTAATAGGACTATTTATTGGTTCAAATCATATTTAGGGGATCGACAACAAGTGACCCAATTCAAAGGAGCCAAGTCGCATCCATCAACCATCAAATTAGGTGTGCCACAAGGTTCAATTCTTGGTCCCCTTTTATTTTCAATATATGTTAATAGTCTACCTGAATGTACTCCTGAAGGTATCATAGATATGTATGCTGACGATACGACACTTACCGTCAGTGCAAATGATGCAACTGTTGTGGAAGAAAAATTAACTGTTGCGTTAAACAGAGTCATGGCATGGATTAAGGAAAATCGTCTTGTTCTTAACACTGGAAAAACCTGTGTCATGTTAATAGGCTCTCCTGCTAATCTCAAGAAAATTGAATCTTTCACCATTTTATTAAACGGCAATTTGATCAAAAGAGTTCAATTCACCAAATGCTTAGGACTTTTGATAGATGAAGAATTGAAATGGTCTAAACAAATCGAAAACGTAAGTAAACTTACCCAGAAAAACATTAGCATGATAAAGAGAGCAAAGAGTTTTTTGCCTCAAAAATCCTTAAAGTTACTTTATAACAGTCTAGTGTTGCCACGATTAGATTACTGCTCTGTTGTATGGTCGAACCGATTTCATTCTCATACAACTAAGCTGCAAAAAATTCAAGAGGGCCGCAAGAATAATATTGAACAAGACATATGACACACCGTCGGCTGATTTGTTCACAAGTCTTAAATGGATGACACTAGACAAGCGGTTTGAGTTAAGTCGCGTTATGATGATATATAAATGCGTTCATAACTTAGCACCCTCTTACCTTCAGGTAGGCTTAATCAATCCTAATGATGTGCATGAGCATCATACAAGGCAAATAGACAGTGGATGTTTACGTGTGCCTAGATTTCACACTGATTGTTATAAGTGTAGCCCAATTGTTTCTTCCATATTTGAATGGAATAAGCTAGATAATTCGTTGAGAACGGCTTCCTCTGTCAATTCATTTAAGAGATTGTTTAAACAAAGTTGTAATTTGTGAATGGCTCAGCCGTACATACACTACGTGCATGTTCTGTAATATTTACTTTATTCACATAATTGCGACTTAATCAATATTTTCCTATTGACATTACTGCTTACTAGGTTAATGATATATGTTAATTTTGCAAACGAGTATTATTTTTGTAACTGTTCTGTATAAATGTTATAAACGATGTAAATATGTTCATTCAGGGCCCCATGGAAGACCACTACTTGCTGGTGAATGGGCTACCCTGTCAAAAGATCAGAAATAAATAAATAAATAAATAAATTGTCAACGAACGGAGTTAAGTCTTTTGTAAAATCTGCTTTTTGCTACGGCAGGCAACCAGTGAAAACGAATTCGTTTAATAAAATTATGGAAATGCAAGCACTACTTTAAACAAACAGAACTTTGTCATTCCTCGCTCATTTTTCCTGATTGAGGTGTCATATGAAAGGGCAGAAACTAAACTTTCTAGAAATGTGAATTTGTCTTCGAAATTCAGATACCGCCCGCCAAATGTCTTTTTGGTTTCCTTCCTTCAAATTGCTTTTAATCACTTATGCGTGAAATATGCATCATCTGAGTATCATCAACTGAAAGAGGAGACTCTAAGCTTTCCAAATATGTATCATTCATTAATTATGGTTGTGATTAAGTTATGATAGAACATCGATACTTCTCGGTTTCGTTTTTTCTGGGACGCACTGTATATGTAGTACATGTATACTAATAGCAATAAGAGATTGTACACTTTATCATTTTTTGGGTATGATGTCACCCTCACATGGCGCATCAGTTGCAGTCCTACGTCTGACAATGGACGCTTCTTGTGCAACAGGCATTGCATGTCAACACAGATCTGCATGTACATGTAGATATACTTGACTTGTATTGCACATCTCGGTCTTAGGTGGCAATGACACCAATCGTAGACCAAGCAAACAATTACAATACTTCCAATAAACAAAGAGAATAATTATCTCAAATTATGTCGAACATGTCTTGCAATAGATTTCATATCCTTAAGTTGGCCGTCTCAACAAAACCCACATTCTTTTTTGTATGACCATCATAATTCCTATAAAACAGTTAAAACAAAATTTGTACTGTATTATACTGTATATATATTTATATAGTTTAAAACTTGTATATGTCTGTATGTATTTCATGTATTTACCAATGTATGTTTAATGTATTTGCTGGAATTAAAATAGACGAATTGAATTGAAACAAGAGTCATTGGGTGTAGAGGAAGTATGGAGTCAGTTTGGCATTGTGACTAAGGTGCTTAGTCGTTAAATCTTCATCCGCTTTGGTCAACTATTGGCACACACAGTAGATTAATGTCACAGTGAACTTTTGTCACACTCTATCTAAATCTCTACTTTACTTTCCTTGCATAATAAAATATTTGGTTACAAACCAATGCTTAGTACAGTATATATGTATACACAAACACCAGATAAAACACATACCACTATCCACAAGATTATTGTGCTCCACAGTAAGTTTCTAACATAAGTAAAATGTCTAACTTATTTCTATAACTAGACTTTAATTCTATAAACCTAAATTTGATCACAATCTACAAGTTGTATCATGAATATTTTTCCAAAACTGCAGCAAATGTTGGGTCACCATATATACCGGTACCGTAAATCTCTGTGTATAAGGCGCACCCCTATTTTGGGGAGGGGAAAAAAAAAAAAAAAAATTGTATTGTTTGTTTTGTTGTTGTTGTTTTGTTGCCGAAAACCCACGCGGGGAAGGACCTTCATTTAACATCGAGGTGCAGTTAAAGGCGCTGATTTGTGCTTGTAAACTTGTCACAAATAATAGTAACAATGTCGTTTTTAGAAGAATGTGTAAAATCATTAATGTAAATTAAAAACAATAGAGTACCTAGGTCCTAGGATAGAACCTTGTGGTACACCATTTGTTATATAAAAAAAATTGAGGAATTATAATTATAAACTACATATTGAGATCTATTAGAAAGATTACTTTCAAACCAAGATGACAGACAAATTTTAGTGTTGTTGTAGTTTCCGAGTGGTGAGTCAACACACTGATTACTGAGCTGGGAGACATTGCCAGGCATAGCGCCATAAATCGAAAATAAATATTAAAGTATAAGGCGCATCCCCGACTTTCAATTTTTTTCGGCGGCAAAAAAGTGCGCCTTATACACGGAGATTTACGGTAGTAAAAACCTGTTACAAATATGCAAATTTGTTTTGAATATTCTTACATATGGCACAATGTAGAAAAATGGCTATACTATTGCATGTTGGTTTCAGTTGCTATATCAGGGTACCTTAGGCCTGCTCAGGATTGGCCTCTTTTTCTCGGAGGACTCTTCTCAATATCTTCCCCGAAGCTGACTTAGGGATGGACTTCACAAACTCCACTCCACCCCTTAGTTTCTTGTAGGGGGCTACATTGTCTGGAAGTCAAAACAAATTTAGAAGGATCAGAAGAAAAATATATTTATGCAGTTCTTGTATAGCACATATGACAAACTGTTATGTCTCTAAGGCACATATTCTGATAAAATTAAAACTGAGCTTTTGATTAAGGCAAGGAAATTAGTCTGAGGTCTTAGTTTTCCTTTAAAATATGATTTTAGACCAAGGATCCGGCCGAGCTGAATCAGCAGAATACAGAACTTAATACTTGTTTATGAAGCATCGATCTATATACCCCTTTGGTCTGGCATCCCTAAGTTCCAACAATAGTACAATTAGGCCTAACAAAAAAAGATGTAGTATTGCCTTTAGGTGCCAGATTTTTTTTCACCCCTCAAAACAAGCGACGGCCGTCGCCCAAAAAACTAAAAACCGGGGGCATCCCCCAAATCTCGCTGGTTTCTAGCTGATGCAGTTCATGGCATAAACACGTACATGAGGCCACCCGTCATGCCGGGGCATACTCGTTTTGGCGAACAGGATTTTGAAGACGAGTGAGAATTTGGGAACGTTTTGATAATATCATGCATTCATTAAGAAATTAATTAATGATGTATGACGCGTCTTTTTAATTTGTTGTGACAATTTAACATACTCTCACTAATATAAAGAAAATAACCTTTCAGAATACAATCCCCTCACTGGGATGTGCAGGTGGATCACTACGCTAGGGTCACCCCCTCCCCCTTTCACCCTTGACCGTTAACCAATTGTTCCTCTTGAAAGATAGAATAATATAGCAGGACCCGTGGAAAATCCTCGGGATTCTAGGGGAGGGGGCCAAATAGATAGATAGAGGCCTATGTGCTATCCAAAAAAAATTTAGATTATCTTTATATAGAGAATTTTTATAATATATGCTGTTTGACCATGAATGGCGCATCGTAAAACAAACTATGCCAGATAGGATCTCGATAATTACTATTTATTTGCATTATTATTGTTGTGATTTCAATGTAGTTTCATGAAAAGACTACATATGCAGAGGCTTGGATTATGATTATGTTGGCATTGTTCACAAAATGTGTATAATTATTTTCAAAGTAAAGATTTTACGCGAAAAATCGGACGGTTTGTGCACAAATTGACTCGACTGTGTGTGGGACTGTGAGCGTAGAATCCAGTGAAAGAATTTTTTTTTCGGGGACTCGATCTATATCAAATTTTGGGAAAATTTTGGGGGGCTACTTTTTTTTATCTTTCGGGGGTCATTTTTTTTTGGCTAATTTTTCATTGATTCATTTAAAGATGCAGTTTGTTTAGTTTAGTAGCGTAGTGTTACGTAAAAAAGGCGTACTTTCTGCGTCAAGTTTCTACGCCGAAAGTACGCGAATTTTGTTAAACATATTAAATTGTTTGCGTCCATCTTGCGTTCTTTTTTGCGTCCCTCAGGGTATAGTAACGTAGGCCAGCGTACTCTCAGTTCAGCGTAGTTGGTACGCAACTCTACTATGGACCCCACGCCAATTAGTGATTGACCTGCCAGTGTCACAAATAAGGCATTAAAGATATGCTCATCTGACCGTAATTAAATGCCTAAAACCCCTGAGCTTTCGGGGGTTCAGCCCTTTGTACCCGTGGACACCACGCCTGCACTCAAATCGCTTTGAGTTACCTGACCCCCCCCCCCCCCCCCCCCATACTTTAAAAATTGATTTGATGCAAGAACTGTATCATACTAAAAGTATTATCATGTTTTTAAACGACCATGACGACCGTCTCATTTTCTTGTGAAAAATGATTATCGAAATTCAGTATACAACTATACATGGCCAGAATAATCACAATCCAAGCCCAGGTTTCATACATCTATTCACGAAACTATATTGAAATCGGGGCAATAATAGCAATTTCAAAGTGTTGTTTAGACTCTCCTCACACCCACGGACAGACCTGGCTACTCCAGTCACCGCTACTTCATGCTCACACACTCAGCTCCGACAGCACCGCCGACAGCACCGCCGACAGCGGCGCTCAGCTGCCGTGGCAATACACTGTGGACTCAAGGCAGTTTGCAACTGAACTCTCACATGAAGGCGTACTATCACAGATCTATTTGCGCTATTCTTGTTGTGATTTCGATGTAGTTTTCATGAAAAGACCAATAAAACAGAAGCTTGGACTATGATTATGTTGGCATAGATCACAGAATTTGTATAATTATTTTCAGAGTAAAGATTTTACGTGAAAATAGGTCCATGGTTTGCGCCAGTTGTCGCAATCGCAACAACAACAACAACAAAAAGATGACACCAGCGGAATTACTACAATGACGTTTGGACAGTGGAATGTCAGGACACTCCTCGATCGGGAAGGAACTGGCAGGCCAGAGAGAAGGACTGCCCTTGTAGCCATGGAGCTGGAGAAGTACAAAATTGACATTGCTGCTCTGAGTGAAACACGTTTCTCCGAGTCAGGTAGGCTCGATGACATGGGCTACACATTCTTCTGGAGCGGCAAGCCGGACGGGGTACGACGAGAGGCTGGAGTGGGATTCGCCATCAGAAAAGAGATCTTAGCGAAGCTCACAGAAATGCCTAAAGCGGTGAATGATAGAATTATGACAATGACAGTACCACTGATGAAGAAGGGAAATGCTACTCTCATCAGTGTATACGCACCAACCATGACGAGTCCGGATGAAACAAAGGAGAACTTCTACAATCAGCTTAGACGAACGTTGCGGGACACCCCCCGGACTGACAAGCTGATATTGATGGGAGACTTCAATGCCCGGGTAGGACGAGACTATGAGAAATGGCAGTCGGTGTTAGGCAGGCACGGAATCGGTAAATGCAACACCAATGGTGAGCTACTTCTAGCACTGTGCTCTGAGTTCGAACTCCTACTGACAAACACCGTGTTCAAGCAGAGGGAAGAACACAAAACCACCTGGATGCACCCTCGCTCTAAGCATTGGCACCTGATTGATTACATCATAACAAGACAACGAGACAGAATGGATGTTCACAGCACAAGAACTATGCGTGGAGCTAACTGCTTGACCGATCACCAGCTACTAAGATCAAAGATTGCATTTGCTTTACGTTCAAAGCGTAGGAAGCAAGGAGCTACTAAACTTGCAAAGCTGAACACAGACCGGCTACACGTCAACACACAACGGCTAAAGCTAGAGCAAGATATGGAGAAAGCTCTGGCGACTTGGGGAGTGCAAGAGGGAATGACAGTTGATCAGACCTGGGCATCACTCAGCAAAGTAGTATATGACACAGCGAGCAACACCCTCGGTAAACCAGAGCGAAAACACCAGGACTGGTTTGACCCAGAAGACTCCGAGCTTCTGATACTCATGAAGAAAAGGAATGAAACACACCAACGTGTATTACAGACTAGAAGTACCAGGTCAACCACCACCGCGTACAAGGAAGCCTGCAGACACTTGCAGAGGTACACACGGAAAATGAAAACCACCTGGTGGGAGAAAAAGGCAGAGGACCTGCAGCGCTCCGCAGACAATAATGACATGAAGTCCTTCTACACTGGACTGAAAGAAGTCTGGGGCCCCCAGACTAGGAGTACAGTTCATCTCAAGTCCCTGGACGGTAACACAACCTTTTCAGAACAACAAAAGGGTGCTTGAACGATGGTCGCAGCATTTTGAGACACTACTCAACCAGCCAGGAGATATCGAGCCTGCAGCGCGTGATAGGATCAACCAGCGACCTGTAGTTACTGCACTCGATGATATTCCAACACGAAAAGAGCTAAACCTGGCAATTGCCTCCTTGGGTGATGGCAAGGCACCCGGAGTGGATGGGATACCAAGCGAGATATGGAAGCACGGAGGAGCCACACTAACCAGCAGTTTACTAATGCTGATACAACAAGCATGGGCAGAAGGCTCCGTACCTCAGGATTGGAAGGATGCTAATATTGTCGCCATCTTCAAAAAAGGAGATAGAACTCAATGTGGAAACTACAGAGGAATATCGCTATTGTCAATAGCAGGGAAAGTTTTTGCCAGGATCCTTCTGAACAGATTGAATACCCACATAGCACCAGATATATTGCCGGAGACGCAATGCGGATTTAGGAACAACCGCAGCACAGTAGATATGATCTTCTGCCTCAGACAACTACAGGAGAAGTGCATTGAGCACAACCGATCCCTCTATGTGGTTTTTGTCGATTTCACAAAAGCCTTTGACACTGTTGGTAGGACAGGTCTTTGGGAACTACTACGAAAGTATGGATGTCCCGAGAAGTTCACCGGAATGGTAGAGTCCTTACATACGGGTATGATGGCTAAAGTCAAGGAAGCAGGCGAAACATCCCATAGCTTCCCTGTAAGTAACGGTGTAAAACAAGGATGTGTGTTGGCCCCTACGCTGTTCTCCATCTTTCTCTCGGCGATGCTGGAGGAGGCCTTTGCGGACTTTGAGGAAGGCGTTTACATACAATCACGTCAAGACGCCGACCTATTCAATGTCGCACACTTCAAAGCTAAGACGAAGTCTACACAGATTCTCGTGAGGGAACTCCTCTTTGCAGATGACAGTGCTCTTGTTTCTCATACACCAGAGCAGATGCAACATGTTATAGATGTATTTTCATCAGCATCAAAGAAGTTCGGTCTACAAATAAACATCAAAAAGACTGAAGTACTATTCCAACCAGGTACAGACCACCTAGAGGAGGAGGAGATCCTAGTGGATGGGACAGCCCTAAACCAGGTAGATGACTTCACTTACCTCGGCAGCACTATATCCAAAGACGGACGCATCGACTCTGAGCTGGTGAAAAGAATGTCAAAGGCCAGCAGTGCCTTTGGAAGACTGCGAACCAGGCTATGGAACAACCATCATGTCTCAACAAGAGTGAAGTGCAAAATCTACAGGGCTATCGTCCTATCCACTCTCTTATACGGTGCGGAAAGCTGGACTCTCTACACAAGTCAAGTAAAGAAACTTCACGCGTTCATGATGAGACACCTTCGAGCAATCATGAGAATCAGTTGGAAGGACAAGGTGACCAACAATGAGGTACTAGAGCGAGCAAACCTTCCTTCTATGGAGGACCTGCTCATCAGGAAGAACCTACGATGGACAGGCCATGTCATCAGGATGCCCTCTGAGAGGTTACCAAAGCAAGTACTATTCTCGCAACTACCCGCTGGCGAAAGAGGGATTGGTCGTCCACGGCTTCGCTACAAGGACACGATCAAGAGGAACCTTAAGCGGAGGCATATTGAAACCAAGACTTGGACAACTGCTGCAGGCCAGCGAGCTGTATGGAGAACAGCTGTAAAGTGAAAATGAAGGCGGTCATTGTCGCTTCGCGACAGACAGCTACTACTAGATCACAGAATTTGTATAATTATTTTCAGAGTAAAGATTTTACGTGAAAATAGGTCCATGGTTTGCGCCAGTTGTCGCAATCGCCTCGACTCGAATCGACTGTGGTGTGTGCATGTGTGTGACCTGAGAGCGTGTACTGTGGGCGCCTGGCCTACAAAGCATATCCTATAGAAAGACCCATAACACGGGTAAGCTCAACCCGTTGAGCGTACATATTGGCTACATCCCATCACCCGGGTGAGTCGTCTGTTGATGTGTATTTCTCTTACATGCTACAAAGCGAATCCTATAGCAAGAGGCCTTACTCGGGATATGCCGCAGCCTTTACAATGAGACTTGCTACACCCGTTGACGCGAGTGGATTCTCGTCCATCGTGTGTCTCTTCGTCTCTCTTTGATAATTAGACAGAGGGCGGGTGCACGCCTTGCCGACTCGCTCTCGCGGGTTCGTCGCCTCCTCGCAATCCGCGACGCCTGCCGTGCTCTCGTCCGCCCGTCCTCCCCGGCCGCCCCGAAACCGCGTTTAACGGCATGGACGTCGATCGCGGGGTCGACGTGGCACGCGGGTTACGGGAGACAGGCCTCGTGGAATTGTGCCGCCCTCCCCGCGCCACGGCGGAGGCGGGCGGGGTCGGGGAAAGACGTTTTTGAGGAACCGTTTTGTACCCGTTTGGACCCTCCGCGGCGATTTTGCGTATTAGTAATATAGATGTTACAAGATCATGTACCTGCCACAAACTCTGCTACCTGATCCGCTGTTAGTTCTTCGTTATTTGGCACGATGAAGGCTTTAGGCAGCTCCCCGGCCTCCTCGTTTGGAACTCCGATCACAGCGGCATCCATGATGGAGGGATGGGTGAAAAGGAGAGCCTCCAGCTCAGCAGGAGCAACCTGGAGACGAAGGAGATGGATAGAAGGATTAGTTGATGGCATCCATGATGGAGGGATGGGTGAGGAGGAGAGCCTCCAGCTCAGCAGGAGCAACCTGGAGACGAAGGAGATGGATAGAAGGATTAATTGATGGCATCCGTGATGGAAGGATGGGTGAGGAGGAGAGCCTCCAGCTCAGCAGGAGCAACCTGGAGACGAAGGAGATGGATAGAAGGATTAGTTGATGGCATCCATGATGGATGGATGGGTGAGGAGGAGAGCCTCCAGCTCAGCAGGAGCAACCTGGAGACGAAGGAGATGGATAGAAGGATTAGTTGATGGCATCCGTGATGGAAGGATGGGTGAGGAGGAGAGCCTCCAGCTCAGCAGGAGCAACCTGGAGACGAAGGAGATGGATAGAAGGATTAGTTGATGGCATCCATGATGGATGGATGGGTGAGGAGGAGAGCCTCCAGCTCAGCAGGAGCAACCTGGAGACGAAGGAGATGGATAGAAGGATTAGTTGATGGCATCCGTGATGGAAGGATGGGTGAGGAGGAGAGCCTCCAGCTCAGCAGGAGCAACCTGGAGACGAAGGAGATGGATAAAAGGATTAGTTGATGGCATCCATGATGGATGGATGGGTGAGGAGGAGAGCCTCCAGCTCAGCAGGAGCAACCTGGAGACGAAGGAGATGGATAGAAGGATTAATTGATGGCATCCGTGATGGAAGGATGGGTGAGGAGGAGAGCCTCCAGCTCAGCAGGAGCAACCTGGAGACGAAGGAGATGGATAGAAGGATTAGATGATGGCATCCATGATGGATGGATGGGTGAGGAGGAGAGCCTCCAGCTCAGCAGGAGCAACCTGGAGACGAAGGAGATGGATAGAAGGATTAGTTGATGGCATCCGTGATGGAGGGATGGGTGAGGAGAGCCTCCAGCTCAGCAGGAGCAACCTGGAGACGAAGGGGATGATGGATAGAAGGATTAATTGATGGCATCCGTGATGGAAGGATGGGTGAGGAGGAGAGCCTCCAGCTCAGCAGGAGCAACCTGGAGACGAAGGAGATGGATAGAAGGATTAATTGATGGCATCCGTGATGGAGGGATGGGTGAGGAGGAGAGCCTCCACCTCAGCAGGAGCAACCTGGAGATGAAGGAGATGGATAGAAGGATTAGTTGATGGCATCCGTGATGGAGGGATGGGTGAGGAGGAGAGCCTCCAGCTCAGCAGGAGCAACCTGGAGACGAAGGGGATGATGGATAGAAGGATTAATTGATGGCATCCGTGATGGAGGGATGGGTGAGGAGGAGAGCCTCCAGCTCAGCAGGAGCAACCTGGAGACGAAGGAGATAGGTAGAAGGATTAATTGATGGCATCCGTGATGGAGAGATGGGTGAGGAGGAGAGCCTCCAGCTCAGCAGGAGCAACCTGGAGACGAAGGAGATGGATAGAAGGATTAGTTGATGGCATCCGTGATGGAGGGATGGGTGAGGAGGAGAGCCTCCAGCTCAGCAGGAGCAACCTGGAGACGAAGGAGATGGATAGAAGGATTAGTTGATGGCATCCGTGATGGAGGGATGGGTGAGGAGCTAGAGCCTCCAGCTCAGCAGGAGCAACCTGGAGACGAAGGGGATGATGGATAGAAGGATTAGTTGATGGCATCCGTGATGGAGGGATGGGTGAGGAGGAGAGCCTCCAGCTCAGCAGGAGCAACCTGGAGACGAAGGAGATGGATAGAAGGATTAGTTGATGGCATCCATGATGGATGGATGGGTGAGGAGGAGAGCCTCCAGCTCAGCAGGAGCAACCTGGAGACGAAGGAGATGGATAGAAGGATTAATTGATGGCATCCGTGATGGAAGGATGGGTGAGGAGGAGAGCCTCCAGCTCAGCAGGAGCAACCTGGAGACGAAGGAGATGGATAGAAGGATTAGTTGATGGCATCCATGATGGATGGATGGGTGAGGAGGAGAGCCTCCAGCTCAGCAGGAGCAACCTGGAGACGAAGGAGATGGATAGAAGGATTAGTTGATGGCATCCGTGATGGAGGGATGGGTGAGGAGGAGAGCCTCCAGCTCAGCAGGAGCAACCTGGAGACGAAGGGGATGATGGATAGAAGGATTAATTGATGGCATCCGTGATGGAAGGATGGGTGAGGAGGAGAGCCTCCAGCTCAGCAGGAGCAACCTGGAGACGAAGGAGATGGATAGAAGGATTAATTGATGGCATCCGTGATGGAGGGATGGGTGAGGAGGAGAGCCTCCACCTCAGCAGGAGCAACCTGGAGATGAAGGAGACGGATAGAAGGATTAGTTGATGGCATCCGTGATGGAGGGATGGGTGAGGAGGAGAGCCTCCAGCTCAGCAGGAGCAACCTGGAGACGAAGGGGATGATGGATAGAAGGATTAATTGATGGCATCCGTGATGGAGGGATGGGTGAGGAGGAGAGCCTCCAGCTCAGCAGGAGCAACCTGGAGACGAAGGAGATAGGTAGAAGGATTAATTGATGGCATCCGTGATGGAGAGATGGGTGAGGAGGAGAGCCTCCAGCTCAGCAGGAGCAACCTGGAGACGAAGGAGATGGATAGAAGGATTAGTTGATGGCATCCGTGATGGAGGGATGGGTGAGGAGGAGAGCCTCCAGCTCAGCAGGAGCAACCTGGAGACGAAGGAGATGGATAGAAGGATTAGTTGATGGCATCCGTGATGGAGGGATGGGTGAGGAGCTAGAGCCTCCAGCTCAGCAGGAGCAACCTGGAGACGAAGGGGATGATGGATAGAAGGATTAGTTGATGGCATCCGTGATGGAGGGATGGGTGAGGAGGAGAGCCAACAGCTCAGCAGGAACAACCTGGAGACGAAGGAGATGGATAGAAGGATTAATTAATGGCATCCGTGATGGAGGGATGGGTGAGGAGAGCCTCCAGCTCAGCAGGAGCAACCTGGAGACGAAGGAGATGGATAGAAGGATTAGTTAATGGCATCCGTGATGGAGGGATGGGTGAGGAGCTAGAGCCTCCAGCTCAGCAGGAGCAACCTGGAGACGAAGGAGATGGATAGAAGGATTAATTGATGGCATCCGTGATGGAGGGATGGGTGAGGAGGAGAGCATCCAGCTCGGCCGGAGCAACCTGGAGATGAAGGAGATGGATAGAAGGATTAAATGATAGATGGAATGATAGATGGAAGGATGGATGGATATATGGGTGGGGGGGGGGGCTGAAAGGATGAGTGAATAGATGGATGGAAGGATGCAAGAATGGATGGATAGATGGGTTGATGGACAGACGGATGAATTAACACATGTAAATGGATGGATAGAAGAATAGATGAATGGAGAAATAGATGGACATTTGGAAGGGGGAGAGAGAGATATACAAGGAGGAGATTCAAGTTAGGGGTAGGTGTTATGCGGGAAAGGAGGCAAAAAGTAAATTGCCTACCTGATAACCTTTATACTTGATAAGTTCTTTGAGCCTATCAACGATGTAGAAGAAACCATCTTGGTCATAGTGGCCTATGTCCCCTGCAGGAAATAAAACACTCTGTTAGTGAAGGCGTACAATGGAACAATATGCACATCCTATACACATCCAAAATTGCTCTTGAAATTAATACGCGGACTTTAACTCTTAAAGCCCCACTGCACTACTTATAGCTACTTGCACCCTCTATATAGCAAACAATGCCTAATCGATGACCATTGGTCCCCCCATGGTCCCCTTTTTCTTATGTTATTTGAGGGCAGATTTGATGACATAGGTGTAACCGCCTGTTAGTGACCATGCAGGGAGGTCTAATCCCTCCTGGCCAAACTAGTGCAGAAAGGCTTAAGTCAGACATCATCACCACAACATTCATCAAACTAGGGTCTGGAGACACAAAATCAGACAATAATACCCTTTTCTAACTGGCCTGATTTTCATCGGATGCATCCGGACGCATCCGATGAAATGGCCAGTATGAAAGCAACAGAGGAGAAAAAGGCGATTAAATAGCCGATGAAAAGAAGAGAAATAGGCGATTAAATTCTCCTGCTCAAGAGCAGGAGAACTTCTCATTCTATCGGTGTGACACCGGTGAAACCGCCAGTATGAAAGCGTTCGGAAGAAAAAGGCGATTAAAACAGCGATTAAAATGGTCAAAGGTCACAGTATACGCGCGCTTTATCGTAACCAGCTGTGTTTGTTGACTTATGGTTGAACATGCTGCATGCTAGCTAGATGGAGCGCGTGCTTAATAATTACGCAATAATTCTTCACTTCCGGCAAGGGCTCGCCACAGCGAGTGAATTTCACCGGCAGTATGAAAACGACAGGGAGAAAACAGCGGTTTCACCTTTGTTTACATAAGGAAAATTCAATCGGTATTTTCATCGGTGTGACTCCGATAGAAGCCAGTTTGAAAGCAGTATAAGAGAGGTAAGGAGAAAATAACGAGGAACAGGAAAACAAAGAAGAGGAAGAATTAAAAAAAGAGGAAGAATAAGAAAAAGAAGATGAAACAAACATGTTAGACAACAAAGAAGAAGAAGAAAAAGATGTGAAGGAAAAAAGAAGAGAAGAAAAAAAAAGAAGAAAGGAGAGAGGAAAAGAGAAAAGAGTAGAGAGGGAAAAAAAAGAAGAGGAAGGAGAAGGAAAAGAAAAGAAGAAAAAGAAAAGGAAGAATAAGAAGAAGAAGGATAGTAGAAGAAGTATAGGGAGAAAGATGAGAGGAGTGAAAGAGAAGTGAAAAAAGAAGGAAGGAAGAAGGAGCGCATCTCAGACAGAAGGAAGAAGAGGAAGGAAAGCTTGAAGTAGGAAGAACAAGATGATTACTAATGCAAAGGAAGATGAAAGATGGAAACACAATGACTATTAAACCAAACCTGTATGCAGGAATCCGTCTGCGTCGAGGGTCCTTGCTGTTGCCTCAGGATTGTTGAGGTAACCTGGCATGATCTGAGGTCCTCTGAACAAGAGCTCACCATCCTGACCCTCTCCAAGCAATTCTCCTGACACGGTATCCACAACCTACAGGGAGAAAATACAAAGGAGATGAACAATTCTTACCCAAATATGTCTTCAGCTAACTATCTTATGTTTGTTATTTCTTCTTCTTCTTCTTCCTCGGTAAATGCTACTTCATACAATGAAGATTACGCACTGCAGTGATGTGCTGTTAAAAACGTGGACAGTGATGTGCTGCCATCAGTTGGACGCTTCCTTCAATGCCCTTTTAAAGGCATCCAGAGAAAGGAAGTCTGATCCAGAGTAACCATCGTCCATCTTGTTTCTTTATTCTTCCTGCATGTTGTGGATACCGTGTCTGGAGATTTGCTTGGTCAAAAGCAGGATAGAAATATTTTGGGTTCTTCATCTCATTTCAATTTACTTTATTTAGGTTGTGGATACTGTAACAGGAGCCTTAATTTGTGAAGATCTGGGCCCTGTTTCATCAAACTTGATATCAATAACAAGAAACCCTTACACCTTACATTGGATTGGCTTTGTATAGAGTTGTCATAAATGTAGGTCTGTGGCAGTTATTACTGATAACAAGTTTCATGAAATAGGACCCAGCTAGGGCCCTGTTATTAATAAAAAATGCCACCGATCTATCATCAATGACGAATCTGCTCACAGCCAATCAAATGCAAAGATTTCAGTAGCTTATAACAATTATTGTCACTTGTTATTGATATAAAGTTTCATGAAATAGGACCCAGATCTTCACAAAGCAACGCTTCTGGTTACAGTATCCACAACCTAAATAAAGTAAATTGAATTGAGATAAAACTAGATGGAACTTCGACTGCGCGCAGTCGAAAATGATGCCTCCGTCATGGAGCAATTTTACAAACCAAAACAGAAGAAATTTTTCAAATCAATTTCAATTGTAATCCATTATATACATATATGACCCTTTGATCTTTGACCTCATGACCCTAAAATCTACTCAGTTCATTGGCTCTGCAAGATGTCCTGAGTTAAATAGTAATCCATCTGTCAGTTCTAATGAGAATGCGTTCACAAGCTATTTTTGCATACATAATGAGCCCATGACCTTTGACCTTTGACCTCATGACCCAAGAATCTACTCAGTTCATTGGCTCTGCAAGATACATACATGATCTAAGTTTGGCAGGAGTCCATCAATCTGTTCTAATGATAATGCGATCGCAAGCTATTTTTGCATACATAATGAGCCGCATGACCTTTGACCTTGACCTCATGACCCCAAAATCTAATCAGTTCATCGGCTCTGCAAGTAACATACATGACCTAAGTTTGGCAGGAATCCATCAATCGGTTCTTGAGATAACGCGATCACAAGCTGTTTTTGCATACATAATGAGCCCTGTGACCTTTGACCTTTCATCTTGTGACCCCAAGATCTAATCAGTTCATCCACTCTGCAAGATACATACATGACCAAAGTTTGGCAGGAATCCATCAATCTGTTCTTGAGATAACGCGATCACGAGCTGTTTTTGCATACATAATGAGCCCTGTGACCTTTGACCTTTGACCTCGTGACCCCAAAATCTAATCAGTTCATCGGCTCTGCAAGATACATACATGACTAAAGTTTGGCAGGAATCCATCAATCGGTTCTTCAGATAACGCGATCACGAGAACGGGACGTACGGACGTACGGACGGACAACCCGAAAACATAATGCCTCCGGCTACTTCGTAACAGAGGCATAAAAATAAAAAAATATGTCTAGAGCTAACTCTCCTGCTTTTGACCAAGCAAAACTCCTGACACGGGATCCACAACATGCAGGAAGAATATAGAAACAAGATGGACGATGGTTACCCTGGATCAGTAAAATAACTAACAAAAGAAGGAAAGAAGAAGAAGAAGAAAAAGAGAAAGGAAGAGTGAGAGGGGGAGGACAAAGTTGTGGTTCATTAAGAAAAGAATAATGAACAATGATGAGGTAAAAAACTTTCCATGTGAATTAACATGTAGTTTTTATATGACTAGAACTCTTGAAGTTACATGTGGAAAAGAGAACCACGATTGATTGTCAAACTGATTGTAGTGTGTTCCATGTAATAGGCCTACCAAGGGGGGTGTTTCTCAAAGACTAAGATCGACTTTAAGTTGAGTTAACTATGACAGGCCATTCATGCCACTGGTCGCTCTCACTATATTGGTCTCTCAATTATGATCTTTAGATGATATTTTTTCCTTCAATAGTGAACTATGAAATAAATTATGTAGATTTGCGACCATGATTTATACGTCCCTCGAGAGACCAATGCCAGTAAATGGTGAGAGCAAACAGTGACATGAACGGCCTGCCATAGTTAAGTCCAACTTAAAGTCTTTGTGAAACACCCCCCAGATCTGATAATACTAAAGACACATATACATTTAAATCCTTCTTTTTACCTTTGCCTCTGTGTTGGGTACGAGCTTTCCAACGCTCGACGGGACGTCCTTAGAGGAGGGGGAGAGGGTTAAAACAGGTCCAGATTCTGTCAAACCATAAGCTGTTCATGAAAGACAAAGGTAACAACATGAGGGAATAACCATAACAACCCTATAATATAACAATTTTATACAAACTGGGCCGAATGTCTATTGAGTCTGTCTCATAGAGCCCTGGGCCTGGCGGTGCTCGAGGCATGGGGGGGAGGGGGGGGGGGGGTGTGCGTTGGTCTCACCCAGGGTTCTTGGACTGGCTTACCCAATGTTCCCTTGGTGATTCCATGGGCTTGGTTTTATCGATACACTGCCTGATATTTATTTGTCATATTTTATGTATTGTGTTAATCTTTATTTTCAATGACTCTTCAATTAATTGCAAATATCTTGATTCTGGTATGATTCAATAAAATAATAATCTTTATATTATCACAATCATTAGAAGTAGAAGTAGCAGTAGTTTCTTCTTCTTCATTTGATTTTATTTGGCAAGAAGTCAGAATGGATTATTTTGGCCATAAATTTAATTTTATTGATATAAAAATATAAAATGAGGGATTTTTTTGTTGTGTAATTATTTGCTTTTCTTCTTGCTGCAAATATGTAACAGAAAACAGTGAATACTCTGATCATGTTACGCACCTACCTACAACTGCGCACTGACATTTATCCCTACCCATTTTAAATTGAACTGAACAAGTTACAATAGTGGTAGGAGAAGTAGTAGTAGAAGTAGTAGCAGTTGTAGAAGTAGAAGTAGAAATAGTAGTAGTAGTAGTAACACTTATACCGTAAATCTCTGTGTATAAAGCGTCTTATACACAGGTACATTTTATTTTTCCCAGCTCAGTAATCAGTGTGTTGACTCACCACTCGGAAACTACAACAACACTCAAATTTGTCTGTCATCTTGGTTTGAAAGTAATCTTTCTAATCTCAATATGTAGTTCATAATAATAATTCCTCAAATTTTTTTTCTATAACAAATTGTGTACCACAAGGTTCTTTCCTAGGTACTCTATTGTTTTTAATTTACATTAATGATCTTACACATTCTTCTAAAGACGACATTATTACTTTTATTAGTGACAAGTTCACAAGCACAAATCAGCGCCTTCAACTGCACCTCGATGTTAAATGAAGGTCCTTCCCCGCGTGGCTTTTCGGCTACAAAACAACAACAAGCAAACAAACAAAAACTTATTTTTTTCCTTTTTTTTTCTTCTTCTTCCCCCCCCCCCCCCCGCAATATAGGGGTGCACCTTATACACAGGTGCGCCTTATACAAGGAGATTTACGGTAGTAGTAGCAATAGTAATGAGTGGTATTACAGAAAGTCTCTGGGATCATTTATTCATTAAAAACCCAATTACACACACACAGGATTATTTATTTTTTAATTCAGAAAATATATTACCTTGTTTGATGATTTTGATCCCTAGTCTCGTTTTCACACTCGCTGATAGTTCGCCCCCTAGAGATGCGGCTCCAGAAAATATCAGACTGACGGATGAAAGGTCAAACTTGTCCACAACTGGGTGTTTGGCCAGGAAGAGAATGATGGGAGGAACCAGGTACAGTAGATTGACCTGTATCATGAGCAAAGGTTAAAGTTCAAAAGGAGTGAGGGGGGGGGGGGGGGTGGGGGCTTGATAACTCAATATTAAAGGGGCTTTTCTTACAGGATAATAAATCGCAACAAGGGATTTAGTGGAAAGCTTGACAACGGTTTACCCATTTTGAAATTATGCTGAAAATTGTGTCTTGAACTATTAATACATCACAGCTGAATTTGTGACCTTTGATGGCTCTTCCCCTGAATTTGTGACCTTTGACCTGTGATGTATGATGCACAATAACTCAAACAGTAGCAAAAGCATTTTGAAGGGAGGTCCAAAGAATCATATATACCTGTATTATAAAGAGTTGCGATTGACCCAAAGCAATCACAAATTTGTATTCCCCTTACTCTTATGGACATAGTTTTGATTGATATCAATTGCAGATACCTTGCGATTAATATCAATTCATTATTAGACGGGACCCTGATTTTTGACAATGGATGACAGCTAGGCAACAACTGCATGTACTCAAATATTAAGGGGATCTGTTTTTGTTGTGGTTTTTTGCGCTGGTACTGCTCTAATTAATCCTCTAAGAAGGTCCATGTATTTGATACATTAATTGTTTCTCTACCCCTGAGACTTGTCATTTTGTTGGTAACCAATTTTCTGAGCTTTCCTTCCTCCTTGTGCTCCTACATAGACATTTACATACCTGCCAACCATTTATAGCAAAAGTAAGGAATCCCTCCAGACAAAAAAAAATGAAGAAATTATACAGTCTACTTTGTATATACATGTATTTTTACACTGAAGTTTTCAGAATAAAGAAAGGACTCGTGGCATTAGTTTGACAGCCAAAAGACACTCCAAAATAGGAATGGCTGGAGGGCAGCTATTCCTTGTATTCTTCCGCGTGTGAAGGACTCGAGAACCGGGGACTGAATGCAAAGAGAGAGAGAGAGAGCGAGAGAGAGAGAGCGAGAGAGAATCGACGTTGCGAAACAGCTCGACTGTTCGTCATTGCCTTGTAACATATATGTAAAATACCTTATAATCTTGGATAGTTTTTAGGAAGACTTCCGGTTCAAATCTTGACATGGTGACCTGTCTGGCCCCAGCACGTAGCCCATGAAGCATGATAATTATCAGACCGTAACAGTGGAAGTATGGCAGCAAGGCAAGAACGGTGTCTCCTGGATGTGTATCCGTTAGATCAGGATGACTGAGGGAGCGAGGGATAGATGATGAAAGATAGAGATTAGGAATATACAGTGGAAGTATGGTAGTAAGGCAAGAACAGTGTCTCCTGGATGTGTATCCATTAGATCAGGATGACTGAGGGAGCGAGGGATGGATAAGGAAAGATAGAGATTAGGAATATACAGTGGAAGTATGGTAGTAAGGCAAGAACAGTGTCTCCTGGATGTGTATCCGTTAGATCAGGATGACTGAGGGAGCGAGGGATGGATGAAGAAAGATAGAGATTAGGAATACACAGTGGAAGTATGTCAGCAAGGCAAGAACGGTGTCTCCTGGATGTGTATCCGTTAGATCAGGATGACTGAGGGAGCGAGGGATGGATGAGGAAAGATAGAGATTAGGAATATACAGAATATGTAGAGGTGTCGTAGTCTAGTGGAAAGGCAAGCGAAGGTGTCCCCTAGAGAAAAAAATATTATCTAAAGATCATAATGGTGAGAGCAAACAGTGGCATGAACAGCCTGCCATAGTTAAGTCCAACTTAAAGTTGATCTTAGTCTTTGTGACACACTCCCCTGTTGGGGCAGCGCCAGGAGCATCACAACGTGAAGGACATGTGCGCTATATTAGAAGCCACCATTATTATTATTATTATTATTATTATGAAAGGAGAAGTCTACCCTGATTATAAGTAGGTTTTTATTTTAAAAATGAGAGAAACAGATCAGTGCATGCATCTTGCAAGCTCCTCTCCCATTTCCTCTGTACAGAAAATGTCATAAACTTTCTTTTTGTAGTTATTAATGATGGAATAGATTTGTTTCATAAAGGGGTGGTATAAAAACAAATTTGCAATACTTATATATAGGGTGAATGTATGATTGAAAATTTTCTTACAGGAAAAATATTTTTGTTTAAATTTTGTTATAGTACAGTGCAAATGGGAGGGGGGTCCGCATGATGCGTCACAGACTCACCAATTTGTGTTTGATTGATCACAACTTAAAAAATTCATAACTTTTTTATTGCTCAAACATTTACTGACCTTTTTCTCTTATTTCTGATTCTATCAAAACCAAATTAATATCAGGGTAGACTTCCCTTTTAACATCGGACCCAACAGGCTACATATCCCTAGCCCTAGCCCTAAACCTAACCTAAAACCCTACTGCAACTCTAGTACTAACCTTATGAATTTGAAAAAACAAAGCCCAGAGCAAATTTCTGATCACCAATTCATAACTATTGATTAATAATTACCAATGCATTTGTCTATGGTTATGATTATTTCTTTTTTTGTAAATTGATCTGTAAACTTTTACTATTAAAAAAGACAAATTTCTGAATGAATATTAAAAGCTTAATTTTGATTTAAATTTAAATTTCTAAACTGCACCCACCTTTCAAGCTGGCGTAGATTAGTGACGAGAGTTTTGTTGGTGATAATGACCCCCTTTGGCAGGCCTGTGGTTCCACTGGAGAAAGGCAGGGCGAAGGTGTCCTCTAGAGAGACTTTCACATCAGGGCAAGCGCTACCATCATCAGCTAGGAGAGACTTGAAGGGTTTGCAGCCTTCTGCTTCCCCAAACACATAAACATCCTGATGAAAGACAAAAATAAAGGTAATAATAACAATGACAACAACATTAATAATAATAGTAACAACAATAATAATAATAATAATAATGATAGTAATAACAACAATAATAATAATAATAATATTAATGATAATATATAATGATATCATGGCGCTAGCTCTGCAACAGTTCTCTTTGATACAAGTAAAGTAAACAATTTTGCAATATTCATTTATATACAGTGTACATGTAACCCCATTTCTATCCTCAGCTCTGCCCGGTGGGGCCGGTGCCCTCCAGCTTTAGTCCAGGTTTCATTGAATAAGAACCTATACTTTCAAAATTATATTAAAATTAAAATTAAGAAACTTAACCTTGGTTAAGTTTTTTATGTTGACGCCGCCGCCGCCCCCGTCACTGGAAAAGCGGCGCCTATGTCTCGCTTTTCGCTACGCAGGCGAGACAAAAATTTTAATAATATAATATAAATAATATTCTATTGCAAGTCTAAAAACAAAATTCATGCTCTAATATATAAAAACAACTAGTGAGTCGACTCACTATAGGTACTATTAAGTTCTCAAACAAAAGGGACTCCTCATAACTGCTTAAAAGTCCAGATGTTTGCACCAAATAATAAATGGACATTGAAATGCAATCACGCATGACACATGGATGAAAAGACAAATCGCCAGGGGGATCTGGCAAAATATTTGAAAAATTAATAAGCTGAATATGAAGGGTCACAGGGACCGGATGAGCAATCATGCAGTTAGTACCAACACTGCGTATTAGGAGTGTTTGGAATCTTTGTAAATTCTAACATAATCTAGTACAAAATCAAGGTACATGTATAGACCAGTTCTGGTCATGCGATTGCATTGTGAAAGAAAGGTTGTGGAAACGATCAGAAAAGGTTGATCATCTAGCATATAAGTACTGCAAGGTTCAGGAATCATCAAAATGATAAGAAATGTAGCCCAGTCTTGGTAAAGTTCCAAGCACTGCACGCAGACAGATGCATATTGGATTACGCGATATCTATCCAGGCCGCATGGATAGATATGATAATTTACTAAATATATCAATTAATAGGTGGTTTCCCGGCAAAATTTGTATCATCACGTATTAGTCAAAACATGATGCTTCCATTTTCATTTTTTGAGAGGGGGGGGGGGGCGTTTCCAAAACTGGTCTATACCTTAAACGTTATAAAGTATAGCACACAGAGATACTGTATAGGAAAGTTGGGAACATGGATTTACACAAACAATTACATGTATGTGGCTCTGGAATTTTCAATGAATTTGGTAGAAAGCTATTTCTGATCGGGATTAAAATATTTTGAGTGAGGTTGAAGCTAAGCTATGCTCTTCACAAGACATTCTACTATTTTATTCTTCTACACATTAAAGAATGAGGAAGTTATTTTCGTCCTTTTTAGACCAGAATTTAACCTTCTCTTAGAAAAAAGCATGATTATAGCAAAAGTTCCTGAGACACAAGTTTGTTTTGATCTTCACGTGTTGGAAGTTGTATATTCTTTTTGCAAATAAAACAAACATGTATTCAACTCATGGACTCTTCCACCCCTGAAGCCTATGTAATACCTCATTCACACAAATGAGACGGACACTGAACCGACTTCAGATCAAACAAACAATTACATTACCCCAAATGGGCAAATTAGGGCTGTCAGTTTAAAGGTAATACAAAGTTTTGGGAAATTGTGAAAATTGGCTGGATAGTGTTTCTTTTATATATTTGGATGCCCCTGTGGATGTGTTATATGCACTAAAAAATTTAGCCCCTAAAACACTTCTGCTTTTGAGATGAATTGAATATAAAAATTTATTGGTGCTCCCGGTAAATTTTGTTGAATTTCAAATAGCGCCTACGGCCATACAATTAGCAGCTGCGACCATGAAAATTTCAGAATATTTAGTTGTGATATATAATTTCCAAACCAATCGGTCGATTTTAGTCAAGAAACATTGTTTTATAGCTGAATTAATATATTGACCTTGAGAGGGAGCTATACAACATAAACAGTTTATTATTACAATTTCATCACTTTAGACTCTGTTTCAGCCGTGCCAACGATCACTAAATATTGTGGGAATCGCATATGCTTCCAATATGTTCATTTGAACCAAATTCATAACCCCGTACCAAAACTTTGTATTACCTTTAAGTCGGTCTTGAGTCAGTTTGGCTGAGCCACCAAGATCTAACACTGGTCACATATCAACGATACCAATGCTTACTGATACAAACTAATGAGCCTTGAGCAATTATTTTCTCTCATCCAATACACAAAGAATGATTTCACACATTTACAGCCACCTGTTGCACCTGCTTTTGGTTGCTATATCAGGCAAAGCTTTGGCAGGTTACAGGTTGACACTACTTCTTATCCACAATATTTTATTTCTTCTTCTATTGTACATTACAAGCATGCATAAAATTGGAATACTTGGCATGCTGATGATGCAGGATATAAGTAGAAATGCCAACAAGACAAACCTGAACTCTGGCGAATCGTTTCATGGTGTTAAGACATTTCTCGGCAAATGGTGGCACCGTCACGATAAGCCTTGCATCAACAGTCTGCATTTGATGGAGAAGCTCATCTGGATTGAAAGAGAAATTCAATCTCATGTTTGAAATCATCCAAATTAATCTATATACCGGTAACCACATGCTGTAAAATGAATTCATAGGGCACAACCTCCAAAAAGTTTTGAGCTGTTCAATCAGTTTCCCCATGCCCAAGTGTGATGGGTGTATCGACCGAATCTAGATACATTGTACAGACCGTCCTCAGGACGAGGGAGTCTAGTATTTGGAGTTGAAGAACGAAGCTCAATAATGAAGATCAGCCCTTGAAATCTAACCACTTTGTGTTGTGTATTCTGTTGTTGTGGAACAAAGGACCTGGGGACAACAGGTAGAGGAAACCACTCGTAACACAAGGGACAACAAACTTCCTGGATTTTTAAGAAATAGTTCTTCACTTGACATCTTCAAAAAACATCTGACAACATTCCTCTAAAATTCTTCTTGATTTGCCCCAAGACTAAAAGGAAAGCAGCTTGTATCCTCTGGAAAAGGCGCTATATAAATCCTGTTATTTGTATGAATTATTATTGCGGTATTAGTACATGTAGTAGTGTAGTAATAGTAAAATTGTCAGTACTATCATTATTAGTGGTTCGCTGACCATGATACAAATTGCTAAAGTTCCAAACTCGAAATGGGATTATGACGTCTTTATTAGCTTCCTCAAACGAAGAGTCAAAGACAACACAGAATCAAAATTCAATCTGTAATGAGAATCAGATGCACAGAAAATACAATAAATTAATAAGTATTGCACGAAAAAGTTTCCTTTGTTTTCTTATTTCTGAGTGCCTCTAATACCATGACAACTTAATGAACTTGTACTCATAAATATACACCACTTGTATATTAAATACCCAAACTGTCCTAAACCTGAACCTTGTGATTTGGTACCTATACATAAACATGCATTTCTATTTGCATAATTCATAAAGGCAACTAACTATTAAACATTTGTGACTACAAATGTATACTTTCATAAACATCTTGATAAATGCCTAACGAAAATAAATGCTACGGCTGAAATCCAAAAGCCTATCTCATTATACGTGTTTAAATCACATCTTTCCAAAATATCAACCCAATCTGAAAATCAACATTTGTTCCTAATAATCCACATTACAATTGTGACTAAATTCCTTTATCAGAACTATACTCAATAAGTCTTCACAAACCTACAATACATAACTCTCTGTTTATGTTACAAAGATAACTAAAAAACATGAAGACTGCTTCCAATGCAAAGCCCTATGTATAAAGCTTGGCTCTAGCTGTGCGCATAATTAAGTAGGTGAAATTTACACCCTGCACAGTACAAACCACTTGCTTGTAAATTACATTTTCCAGAAATCTACATCAATATTTCAAAGCAAAACTTCACTTGCTCTGACTAAATAAACACAATGCAGGTCATTATAAACTGACCAAATCTCGCCTAAATTATTTTCTCTTATATCCCTTTACATTTATCCACTTTTACTCTTCGTCAAAACGGCAACAAATTATACAGTAATGTCCCTGGCATAGCACCACACGTATAATATTCACTTTCACACGTGCGATTCAATGATTACTGAAGTTGAACGAATGAAATTCAACTTATAATTAATACATTTTATCTATATATCAGAAACTCACTTCTTTGGCCGGAACTTAGCAATTTACTGCCGAAACACTGGGCTCACCGATGTCACTGTCAAACAGGACAAAAACTGGAAAACTGGGAAAACTGGAGAGCTCATCTCCAGTGACTTGACGCTCGACAGACTACACGAACAAGTGACTAAAATGGCTTCGCTACTTATCGAAGTCGAAAGTAAGGTATCCTTGAAAAACAAATACTCAAAGAAAGGCCATTTCAAATCCTACTATAAAAAACATCGATCATGAATACAACAGACATTGCAAATATTTAAATTGCCAATTCACCTTCTATAAAATACCTAAATGCTTCATTTAGGCTGAAAGAGAATGAATATCTAGCTTTTCAGATATTATAATTAACAAAATGAACCTTTTTTCTTATCTTATGAAACAAAGAATCTGAACTCTAAAAATCTCTTCTAAGATTTTCGACTTGCTGAAAAAACCACAAAATAAATTTCGCTCAGCGAAACATCCTCCCCCCGGATGAGGACTTTTCCTCATATACCTTAGTCTCAATTCAAGACTTAATTATATTAACATAGACAAATACATAGAAAACTTTTACTGAAGTTTTATTCTAGTTTCTGTTCAAGACCTTTTCAGAGTTGTCTATAAATCCTATACGCTCTCATCGTAGCCTTCAGTGGGATAAATAACCGCTATCTTCGTAACTGGTCTGCGATATATGCCCACCGCTGTTTTCAACTGTACGTTCCTAACTCTACCATCAGCACCAGGATACACTTGTATCACCCTGGCAATTGTCCACTTTCCACGTACCGCGTTTGCTTCTGCGGTCATGACGACGTCCCCCACGCGTACATTACGACGCTCTGTGTTCCACTTCTTGCTAGGCACGAGGAGCGGAAGAACATCTCGAGACCAGCGTCTCCAGAACGAATCTACTATACGCTGTACGAACTCGACGCGATGACGCGGATTCTCTGTCTCCCTAAACGGACCTTGGGGTACGCTTCGCGACGCTCTTCCTAACAACATATCATTAGGACTAACATAACTTCCATCATCTGGATCATTCGGTATCCTACCAATGGGTCGCTGGTTTACTAGGTTTGCTATCTCAACTAAACATGTGTACAGCTCAAAGGGTGTTAAACACTGACTACCTACTGCTTTGTGTAGAGCAAACTTACAACTTTTAACAAGTGCCTCGGCACATCCATTCTGATGTGGAGCTAATGGCGTGGTGAACTGCCATTCCACCCCTATCTCTGCACAAAAATCTCGAAGCTGCACATCATCCCACCCTTTCACCATCTCTCGTAACTCACGCTTGGCACCCACAAACTGAGTACCGTTGTCGCTCATGATGACCTTAGGGTGACCTCTAATCGCGAAAAACCTTCTGAGAACCTGCAGAAACTCTTGCGTTGAACAATCTACTGCTAGCTCAAGGTGAACCGCTCTTGTATTCAAACAAGTAAATATCACGCCGTAGTGCTTCGCTTTCTTGTTTCGACTAACTTTCACATGATATGGGCCGAAGTAATCACACGACGTAAAATGAAACGGCGGCGTAAACGGAGCTACTCTGATGCTTGGTAGGCTGGCCATCTGCTGTATCTCTGCCTGGCATGCTGCTGCTCTGCATACCACGCAGCGGTGCTTTACCGACTTAGCAAGCCGGTGTCCCTTCAGGATCCAGAACCTCTTTCTTGTCCTGGCTGTCGTCGCTGCTACACCATGGTGACCCGATTCATGCATGTACCTAGTGATCAGAAGTGAAATACCATGGTCATATGGGAGTAGAACAGGATGCTTAGCTTCATATGATATGTCCATGTTTCCCACTCTACCACCAACTCTGATCACCCCTTCCTCATCGATGAAAGAAGTGAGCACCTTGAAGTCTCCCTTCTTGAAGTGTGGCTTGATTCTCTCCTGGGCTACTTTTATCCAATACATCTCAGCTCTCTCTAACTCAGTGGTAGTTAGAGTCGTCTTCTCGTCGGGTAGAGGCCCCTTATGGATTCTGGACTTCAAGATATTAACGAATCTCATCACGTAGGCTGTCACTCTCAGTAATTTTCTCCATTTAGAGAACTTCTTGTACTCTAGCAATTCACTTGTCTCATGTACTGAGAATACTGCCTGAGACTTCCTCTGCTCACTATCAACAGCCCGCTGATCTGCCTCGGGCTCATCTACTGGCCATTCTGATTCATCAGTGTAGAGAAAGCTAGGGCCATGCTTCCACACTTCAGCCAGTTTGTCAACAGTTACTCCTCTTGACACATCATCAGCGGCATTCATTGTTCCTGGGATGTGCTTCCACTGTGAGGGATCTGTTAAACTCTGAATTTCCCCTACTCTGCTTGACACAAACGCCTTGAAGCTTCTCGCAGGCGACTTGATCCAGTGGAAAACAATCATGCTGTCAACGAAGAAAACCACCTTCTCTATCTCCAGCCTTATCTCCTTGCTGATTGCCTTGTAAAGTCTCGCGGCTACTACTGCTGCTTGAAGTTCGAGACGAGGCATCGTCAAAGTCTTGAGTGGTGCTACCTTTGACTTAGCTGCCACAAACCGCACCTCATACTTATTGTCATCAGTCCGCCATCTAAGGTACGCACATGTACCATATGCACTTTCTGAAGCATCACTGAAAATGCACAGAACTGGCTTGCCTCTTGCATCTTGTGGTGTAAGACATCTCCTCAGTTTGACATTGTTGAGCAAAGTCATCTCCTCAAACAACTTAGTCCACTCAGTTTGCTCTTTCTCTGGTAATGGATCGTCCCATCCAAGACCCATCTGCCATAACCTCTGTAGACCCATCTTAGCACGTGCGATGATCGGAGCTGCAAATCCAATGGGATCAAAGACGCGGGCTACCTGGCTTAGAATCTTCCTCTTGGTGAATTTCAGATGGCTCTTTCCTTCATTGGCTGAAGGCATCACTCCTTCACGGAACTTCACTCTGTATGAGAACACATCGTCTTTCTTGTCCCACACGACACCCAACACTTTCTCTTCAGCAAGGGCTTCTAGCAGCTTCATTTCTCCTTCCTTGCTGTCTCCATGCAATGGTTTATTTGATAACCATCCCTTCACTTTAAAGCCACCATTCGAAAGTACCTCATCTATATCGCCGGTGAGCGTCTCTGCTTCAGAAAGCGTCTCCACGGAGTCACAAATATCGTCCATGTACACATTCCTCTTGAGTACATTGGCTGCTTCTGGGTATTTACTCTCCCCCTGCTCAGCAGTCATCTTGAGAGCAATCTGCGCCATTGCTGCTGCCGGTTTATCTCCAAAGGTTACTACCTTCATGATGTATACGTCTGGCCTTCTACTGACATTCATGTTTCTCCAAAGAAACCTGTGCACATGTTGGTCACTCTCTGGTATGAGCACCCTGTGGTACATCTTGGAGATATCTGCACATATGGCGATGTACTTCTCCCTGAATCTTAACAACACTCCAGGTAGACTGTTCAAGAGGTCAGGCCCTTTCATCCAGTACTCGTTTAAACTATGGCCTTGGAATGATGCTGACGAGTTGAATACTATCCGGATTGGAGTACTCTTTTTCTCAGCTCTCACAACAGCATGATGGGAGATATAATGTACTGGCCCTTCATGGCACTCCATCTCTTGGGGTGAAAGCTTCCTGGCAAACCCCATATCCTCCATTTCCTGGATCTGTTGGTCATAAGCTTTAGCGTGCTCAGGATTCCGGGCAAGCCTCTTCTCGGTGGACTGAAGCACCTTCTCTGCTTGCCACTTATTGTCAGGCAACATCTCAGGATCTCGTTGCCAAGGGTAGGCTATCTGCCACTGCTTTCCAATCTTGTGAGCTGAGGACCTGATCACCTGTTCCTCTATCACCTCTTGTCTAGTGAGTCTGCTCTCTATACACTGGCATCCTTCAGGCCTCACTCCCTCTGTCTCAACTGACCAAAAGTCCGTCAAATCTACAGGTGCTGCTAACTTTACATGCAGTACTGCACTGCTCTGCACTCTGTCACCACGTGTTGCTCCAAAGATAACCCATCCTATCCTCGACTTTCTAGCAATAAAGTTGCCAACTTCCCTGGTTTCACCGCAATGAAACCTTGTGTGGTCAACTCCTATCAAAATGTCCACAGGTCCACTACTTCTATGTAGATCCTTCCGTTTTATGCGAAACTTCCTTGCTAGATCGTCCAAGTTGATAGCCTGTACATGCTCGCTAATGCACGGAATTCCTATGGCTGACACAGTAAAAGGCTTGCCACCTTCACCTTTCCCTCTAACTAGCACTTTGTAGATGTTAGTGTGCAGAAGCTCCTGCTCATCTCCAATCTTGCAAATGGTAATGGTTGTTGGTGTGCCCTCTAACTGCAGCTCTGTTGCTAACTCCTGCCGGATAAGGCTTATCTGGGCACCAGAGTCTAGCAACACGTTTCCCTCCTTCATATCACCATTGCATCCTAAGACCTCTGCCAAAACAATGGGTAGAAGAGACTCCTTAGCTACAACTGTAGCGACTCCCACTTGACCTCGTTGGGTTTGCTCCAAACTATCATCTTGCCTCGGTACCCACTCCAGGTGCAGCAATGGATGGTGATAGAATTTACACCTTTGGCCTTGTCTCATCCGTCTGGACACTGTCTGCGTCTATTGCATGTTGCCATCAAATGCCCCCTCTCTGCTTGCTTAAGGCAGCTAAAACAAGCCCGATTCTCCTTGGCAATCTGCAATCTTTCTGATGCTGGTTTGGAGATAAACCTCTTGCACTGGTCTATCCAGTGGTCTGATGAGTGGCAGATCCAACACCTGTCTTTGGCACTAGGTGTTTGAACCCACTTCCGCTCCTTATCTGGCTTCGTGTCTTTCTGCGCACAGAAACCAACAGCTCCTTTGCGGGATTCACTACGTAGCGGGGCTGAGGCACGCATCCTGGCCTTCATCTCGTTGGCCATCCACTCCAGGAGCATGTGTAGTGATACTGGATCTTCATCCTTCTCCTGGCATCTGAACCATACCTTGCGGTCTCCTTGGCTCAACTTCCTCTCAATAGAGGCCAACATGTGATTGTTGTCCATGTCATGCTGCCTTCCCACACTTACAAGGATGTTGTAACTTCTCCTCACCAGATGCACTAATTCGCAGAAGCGGCTATCTTCATTCTCCTTTAGTGCTCGGAACTTGCTGATGTCATCTATGATAGCATCAGCTACGAATCTGGGATCTCCATAAATTAACTCCAACTGCTCCCATGCAGCATTATAATCAGTTCCAATACCCCGAATAAGGTCGAGGGGCTTACCCTGCAGGCAGCTACGTAGGATGGTGATACCATCCCTACTACTATATCGGCTTTCTACCAGATGTTTGAAATCGTCTCGGAAAACGAAAAACTCCCGGACATCTCCGCTAAACTTGGGCAGATGCGGCTTCTCAATCCTCAAGCTGTATGGAGCGGATGCTACTTCAGGAGAGGAGGACTGACCAGACCCAGACTGGACTGCATCTGCAGGACTCTCAGTAGAAGGCGCTGCTTCCACTTTCTCTGGTTCTCCTCTCTCCTTTAACTCGTCAAGATACTTTGAAGCGTTTACTTGCCAGTTTATGAAAGATGTGTCGCAGACCTCCATCCACTTCTCTTCCTTCTCGAACTGATCATCATCGAGGATCAACTCCGAATAACTTTCGTGCTTCTCTTGCAGCTCTTCATACACGATCTTGAGATGATGGAATCTCTCCTCAACAGCTTCCATGCTTGCTTTCTTTGAAATGAGCTGCTCTACTGCATTTCCACATCTTGTCAATTCAGCCTTGGCACCCCGCCGCTTCAACTTTAGCTGTGCTGTTGCTTCTGATTCTGTCATCTTGCTAGAACTGGTGATAGCTCTAGAAATTGAATGCTATGGTTCGCTGACCATGATACAAATTGCTAAAGTTCCAAACTCGAAATGGGATTATGACGTCTTTATTAGCTTCCTCAAACGAAGAGTCGAAGACAACACAGAATCAAAATTCAATCTGTAATGAGAATCAGATGCACAGAAAATACAATAAATTAATAAGTATTGCACGAAAAAGTTTCCTTTGTTTTCTTATTTCTGAGTGCCTCTAATACCATGACAACTTAATGAACTTGTACTCATAAATATACACCACTTGTATATTAAATACCCAAACTGTCCTAAACCTGAACCTTGTGATTTGGTACCTATACATAAACATGCATTTCTATTTGCATAATTCATAAAGGCAACTAACTATTAAACATTTGTGACTACAAATGTATACTTTCATAAACATCTTGATAAATGCCTAACGAAAATAAATGCTACGGCTGAAATCCAAAAGCCTATCTCATTATACGTGTTTAAATCACATCTTTCCAAAATATCAACCCAATCTGAAAATCAACATTTGTTCCTAATAATCCACATTACAATTGTGACTAAATTCCTTTATCAGAACTATACTCAATAAGTCTTCACAAACCTACAATACATAACTCTCTGTTTATGTTACAAAGATAACTAAAAAACATGAAGACTGCTTCCAATGCAAAGCCCTATGTATAAAGCTTGGCTCTAGCTGTGCGCATAATTAAGTAGGTGAAATTTACACCCTGCACAGTACAAACCACTTGCTTGTAAATTACATTTTCCAGAAATCTACATCAATATTTCAAAGCAAAACTTCACTTGCTCTGACTAAATAAACACAATGCAGGTCATTATAAACTGACCAAATCTCGCCTAAATTATTTTCTCTTATATCCCTTTACATTTATCCACTTTTACTCTTCGTCAAAACGGCAACAAATTATACAGTAATGTCCCTGGCATAGCACCACACGTATAATATTCACTTTCACACGTGCGATTCAATGATTACTGAAGTTGAACGAATGAAATTCAACTTATAATTAATACATTTTATCTATATATCAGAAACTCACTTCTTTGGCCGGAACTTAGCAATTTACTGCCGAAACACTGGGCTCACCGATGTCACTGTCAAACAGGACAAAAACTGGAAAACTGGGAAAACTGGAGAGCTCATCTCCAGTGACTTGACGCTCGACAGACTACACGAACAAGTGACTAAAATGGCTTCGCTACTTATCGAAGTCGAAAGTAAGGTATCCTTGAAAAACAAATACTCAAAGAAAGGCCATTTCAAATCCTACTATAAAAAACATCGATCATGAATACAACAGACATTGTAAATATTTAAATTGCCAATTCACCTTCTATAAAATACCTAAATGCTTCATTTAGGCTGAAAGAGAATGAATATCTAGCTTTTCAGATATTATAATTAACAAAATGAACCTTTTTTCTTATCTTATGAAACAAAGAATCTGAACTCTAAAAATCTCTTCTAAGATTTTCGACTTGCTGAAAAAACCACAAAATAAATTTCGCTCAGCGAAACAATTAGATTATTATATTCTTAGACTCTAGTTGAACTGTGCAAATCCATTCAACAAAATTGAATGAACCAATATCAGTGAATATTTTTGTATTGAATTTGAATATCAAAATCTATTCATCCATTGATTCTGACAGAATTTTTTTTTGGGCATTAATGGACAAATATTTATACAAATTATCATTTTTCGGCCAAAAGGTGACCTAAATTACCCTTTTGTTATTGATGTGGGTGAATTCAACATCTCTTTCTAGCATCAGGGTACATTTGTACATAGAATAAGCTCATCAAAACTCCTTAACTGATAATGCACTTGTCATTTGTAAGACGCACCTCTTGACCCCCGGGAATGGTGCGTCATTGTACCGATGTGAGTCGTACATTTTGATACCATGACGCACCTTCCGTCACAGAAAGTGACACACCATTACATTCCATTGACGCACATTTGAGTCAAACATATGACACACCATTTCATGAAAATGACTACCCAATGACGCACATTTGAGAAACACTTCTGCTTGGAGAAAGTGACGGTCCCATTGACACACCAAATGACGCAACGTGGTAAAGTGACTTACTATGACGCACATATGGGTCAGTATTGTGACGGACATTTTGCGGCCATGACGGTACTGTGCGTCGCGATTTTGGGGAACATGACGCAACCATGACGCACCATCCCCGGGGGTCAAAAGGTGCGTCTTACAAATGACACCTGCATAATAACGATTGAAAATTTACCCCACACCAAAAGTGACCATAATGGTCAGTTTTGGCAAAAAAGTGTCCAAAATGACCATCAGTTTCAAAGACCACCCTGCAATATTTAAAGGAAAGCACTGACCTTCAGTGTACAGGGGGTTGACACCACTCACTATGCCGCCCATCTCAACTACCCCACATAGCATCAGCACATACTCCGGGAGATTGGGGCTCACGATGCCGATCACATCCCCCTTCTTTATTCCTTGCCTAGAGAGGGCACTAGCAATCCGTCTGGAATAGGCTCTCACCTGAGCGAAGGTGTACGATCGTCCTGAAGCAGCGTCTGCCTGCAGAAGACATGGAGTGGAAATAAAACAAAAAATAATCAAGAAATCCTATTTCAAATAAAATTAAGAGTTAAATGTACTGAACATTTTGTAAATAGTATTACCCTGAATGTTTTACGTTTGTTAAGGAAACATACGTTGATTTATTTTATTGCTCTAAAGATTTGTTAATATTTACCTTAATTACAAATCAATTAATTTCAACTATTTCAGTTCATGAAACATAAATAGTTCAATAACATTAACAAAACAACATACAGCATTTACATGTAGGGTTATGATTCATAATGTAAACACATATTGATTATAACAGCAAGTGTGGCTACAATTCATGTATCATCCCAATTTCATATTTCGAGATATATATTTCAATATAAATCTACATGCAGGCACGCACGCAGGGGGGGGGGGGGGAGGGAGTTTGGGGGTTGAACCGCCCCCTCCCCCCTCAAATTTGTTTTTATGTTTGTTTTGGAGGAACCCCCCCCCCCTCAATTTTTTTTTATAATTTAAGAAAAAGAAAAAAAAGAAAAGAAGTATGTGCTGTCACCCCCCCCCCCCTGCTTATTCAGCGGCTGGCTGAGTCGTTGCGGAATTTTCACATTTTAAACCCCCCCCCTTTTGAAAAAACCCTGCATACGCGCCTGTCTACATGTACATGTATATACCCCCCTCTCCCCCAAAGAAAAAAATACAGTAACCCTATAAATTAATATACAAACCACTGCAGTTGAGTCCCCATATTGCTCGAACTTTTCATAAATGAAATCCATCGCAGAAATGTCCTCAGGGATGATGACGTCATCATAATCACTTTTGAGGGTTGCCATGGCAATAAGTATATTTTTTTCCAAAGATGCGAGTCTAAACACACAAAAAAAAACAGAATGTCGATACAAAGGATGTATATTTTTTTTCTATGATTTATCTTTGAACAGCTCTAATAATTAATATTGTACAACAAATATTGATTACCCCCCCCCCCCCCCCACTTGTACCTGTGCCACCTCCCATATATATATTATCTGGCATTCTTGGGGGTATGTCTCCCCCCCCCCCCCTCCCCCCACTGAAGAGATGCTTTCTTTATTCCATAATCTAAAATAGAAAACTTATCTAGTACAATACTGGTAATAATCAGGTGGATCAGTAAAAAACACGAAAAAAAGACACAACCCCCCCCCCCCCCAAAAGGAAAAATTAAAAAACTAATATCAAATAGGGGGAAGCCATCCATACTTCTTTTTGATTGGTGTAACTTAACAAATTCAGAAACCTACATGTAGATAGATCTACATTTGATTTTGCTTTAAAAAAGCCTTCGGCATCCGCTTCTCTGAATATTCTTCTTTTCCTGTTTTAAAATCTAACTTGACATAGAGGGTACTTTCCTTTAAGAAGTCAAGGCTATACAGTTACAACTGTAAACTCTATGATATACAACTTAATTATGGCCAGTATACCCATGTTTATGAAGCTCGCATCTCTGGGCATATATATAGATCGGCTAATCTGCATGATTCTAATGAAACAAAACATTGTAACAAACAAAAATCTTGACATCTATTTAAGAGAAGCGTACGTCTTACGAAAAGTCACATTTTAGTAATTTTATTCACAAGCCACAAAATACCAAAATTCACGTTAAAAACCCTGAACTGCATAAATTATTAAAATGAGTGCCCAGACCAAGAAGACACGGGAACCTCTGTTTTAGCAATGACACCACAGTCCTTTTTTCTAAAAATGAAACTCGATCCTCTTACTTGAATTTTGATGAGATTTTTAACATTTTACTTTTTAGAAAATGAGGATTAATATGAGATTAAGTATTAAGCCATTTGGAATACAACAAAAAAGCACTGTCAATCTGAAGTGAAAGGGGTTAACTTTAAGATAAAAGAAACTAAGAAGATCATTATTCATTACATAATACTACATTAGAAACATGTACCTCGTAGTCAGGAAGATTATCATCATCATGCATATCGTTCTATATATAATCATAATTTCTAGATCATCAGACTTCAGAGAAGATAGACCTAGATCTAGTATACTTAATTATAATTCGATAAATCAAATTAAGCAATGTTGATGACTCATGAATGATTTCAAAAGTGTTCACACCGAATAAAACCAAAACAAAATGAAATCATCTTACCGCAAAGGAGATCTAGATTCGACCGAGGAGTTATGCTGGTATCTCTTTGATTCGACGAGCCCTTCTGAAATACAGGGGAAAGTGCTGCTACACGTACACGTTACTAGCCTCCCACGTGCGCCAGCGCTTCCCCGCGCCGAACTCAAGGCAGCGTTGCTCCTTCTCCCAGCTCCCCAACACTGCACTGCAACAGAATAACTTGGAACGTTTCCACTAATTTCCTTAGACCTATAGTGATATATACAAAATTAGGCTTCACTACAGTCACTATGGTGAAGTCCCTGTTTTCAGCTGGTGTACACTGTAAGTCACATAGATCTCTAAATTTCTGGTAAAATACCTAGTTCGGACTATACATGTTAAATTGTATACAGGTTGAGTAGTGAGTACAACCACAGCTTCCTCTTTAGCAGTAGTCTTTAGTTTCATACTTTCTTTAATTGAAACAAAATTAACATTGACAATCTGCTCTTCAAATATTGTTTACCCCAGATATGCAGATATGCAGATATATTGATAATGAATGATTTGATTATGGTTTCTCAGTACATACATCTTGAAAACAATTTCAGAAATTAATATCATTTTGATGAATAGTCTTTGAGGAGAAATTTGTAAATAGACTACACAAGCAGACGTTTTCCAGACCAATGTGCCACGCCCACCATAAACCAAATGTCAAACAAAGAGACGGTCTGCTACTGTGGTGGAGGGCGAGCTCGAGGGGACAGAGGACGGTGGAGGGGAAGGGGAGGGGAGGGAGTCAGCATGATATTAGATGGCGATATTTTTCCATTATGTAGGCTAAACAAATTGTTGGAATGCATTTTCTTATGTAAATTGCTCCATCTAGTGGTATTTTTAAGTAGAAATGTACACGCGTCTTTGCAGCTAATTTGCAATTCCCCACTCTCCCCCCTCTCTCTCTTTAGGCCTTTTGGTCCCTCATTGTGGGGGGGGGGGGGGGGTGGGGGGGGGGGAGTTCTTGCGTTTTATAAACTTTCATTAAAAAAGAACTTCACCCGTCGTCTATCCTGCAGATGAGTTGACGCTCTGAAAGCTTTCATTTTCAAATCATAAATAAATCTCTATGTTATGTAGAGTGTGTAGCGCCATCTTCTGCTGATAAACACTAAAGCAATCAACACTATTTTGGCCTAAAAATTCAAATTTTCTTGCCTTTTTTTGGTATAGACCCAAATCACTCTGGGCTTTCGCGTAGCCTACTTGTTTGCTAGTCAAGTAAACATCAGTATTTCTAGGGGGTAGTGAGAGTCATAGAGAGAGAGAGAGAGGGGAGAGAGTGAGAGAGTAATAGAGAGAGAGAGAGAGAGAGAGAGAGAGAGAGTGTAAGAGAGAGAGAGAAAGAGAGAGGGAGAGAGAGAGAGGGAGAGAGAGAGAGGGAGAGAGAGAGAGGGAGAGAGAGAGAGGGAGAGAGAGGAGAGAGAGAGAGAGAGTAAGAGAGAGAGAGGGGGAGAGAGAGAGAGTAAGAGAGAGAGAGAGAGAGGGAGAGAGAGAGAGAGAGAGAGGGAGAGAGAGAGAGAGGGGAGAGAGAGAGAGAGAGAGAGAGAGAGAGAAAGAGACATGCGAAGAGGATTCTATATACAGTCAAACCTGTCTATAGCGACCGCCCAAGGGAAACACAAAAAGTGGCCTTTGTAGACAGGTGGTCTTTGTAGACAGGTTCCTTTAGTACATGATTCAATGAGAAACCATTTTCAAAGGAAACGACAAATGTGGCCTTTGTAGACAGGTGGTCTTTGTAGACAGGTGATCACTAAAGCAGGTTTGACTGTATTATTTTTTGAAAATTTTGTTTTATTTATCCAAATGTGTAATA